GTTCGGTTCCCGGTACCGGAGAAAAAAAAAAAAAAAAAAAAAAAGATGGCCAGAAACTTGAGCACCAAGAACAGCAAGAGGAGGTTTGGAGTGGAAGTGTACTGGGGTGGCAGAGGAAACCTTCGTTGGCACTGGATACCAGGTCCTCTGCTCATGTCTGGTACTTGGTGTATGCCCTTGGGCAAGTCCAAGTTCATTCAGTCGGCATCTTTCGGTGTGCCAGATATTGTGCTAAGTGGCATGGTAGCGCTGTAATACCCACAAGAGCCTGCCTCTCATGGAGCCTGCCTCATTCACAACACAAACGTACTAACAAACTAGATAAACACAAAAGACAAGGAGCTCTGAAAATCCACGGTTGGAAAGCTGAGCATAGGGTCAGGGCAATCTTTCCTGGAACAGTAAAGAAGGAATGAGGAAAGGTGGATGAGGAGAAGGAAGAGGAGGAAGTGTTTGTTCTGGCTCTTCCTTCTCTCTTTCCATAGGTGGGTTTGAATGATAAGACAATCCAGTCCCAAGTAGGAGCCACTTTTCCATTATTTCAGTGATCTAGTGATAGTCACACTGCTTAATGACAGGGGAACATTTTGAGAAATTCAATTGGCTTTAGGCAATTGCATCATTGTATGACCACCATAGAGTATACTTAAACCTAGGTGTTCCAGATTAATTGCTTGACGTGACTTCTCGGTACAGTCAAGAGATGCAACCAACATGAGATGTATGTGTCTGCTACTGGAATAAGACAGCATATTTTACAGTAAATGTTTTTGTAAGTAGAAGGAATACTACAACCTAGACCAGTAGTGGCAAATCTATGGCACATATGCCACAACCAGCTGCTATCATTGAAAGCTCTAAAATGTTTGCCATGATTGTTCTAGACTAACGATAAAAGCATAGTACAGTAAATACATAAACCAGTAACAGTCATTTATTATCACAAGTCATGTATTATATGTAATACTGTGTGCTACACTTTTATATGACTGGCAATAGGATAGGCTTGTTTTCAACAAAAGCACCACACGCATGGGAATAATGCCTTGTGATGAGACATTTCCATAGCTACATACAACATCATTAGGAATAGGAATTTTTCTGCTCTATTGCAATTTTATAGGACCACCATCAGTCTCTTGTTGACAAAAATATTATGCAGTGCATAGCTGTGCTAGGAAACTAATCAGCCCCAAACTCAATGGGATAAAACAACCATTTATTATGCTCATGGATTCTGAGGGTTGGGAAGACCCAAGGCAAGATATAACAGGGACAGTTTATCTCTGCTTCCCTGTACCCAGGCCTCCACCATTGGCTGGATTCAAAGCAGAGGAGTATGGCACAGGAGAAGCACTCCATGGTATGGCAGACAGAAAGCAGCAGCAGCAAACCTGCCTTTCCCTTTTATCCCATCCAGGCTACTAGCATTTTGGGTGGTGCCACCAGCAGCCAGGTTGGGGCTTCTGTTTTCAGTAAATCCATTTAGCCACATCCAGAACTGTGCTAATTCTACTTAGTGTATTAATTTAGAATTACACATCCTTAATCCCAATATCACACCCTTAATCCACATTCACACACTTTAGATCCAGCCACCACTGAAAAACCCCACCTATGACTGCCTGAGGCTTTGGGTGGACAACTAGCACTAATGCCTTTCCCTTTTTTTCCAACTTTATATTTTTATTAGTATATTTTTGTCATACAATTGATCACGTTCATCACAGGGAATTTGCACCTGTGCATTAAATATCTTGATTCTTCTTGTTTGCCCCCATTTCCCTCCCCTCCCTTCAACCCTTCTTCCCTTCCCCATTTACAAAAGCTTCGTTGCCATTTTTTCCCTTTTCTGTTTTTTCCCTTCCTTCTCTTTCCCCTCCCTCCTTCCTGTTCCCCTTCCCATTTGAACATATTCTTCTTACTTCCCAATATGTATCATCCATTATGGTGGTTTAAGCCTTGGGTTTCTCACACAAAAGGAACAATGCAATATTTAAACTTGTGTCTGATTTATCTCACTTAAGATTATGGTCCCGAGAAGCATCCATTTTCCTACAAATAACTCAAGTACATCTTTCTTTATGGCAGAGTAGCACTCCATTGTATATAAATACTACCTTTTCTTTATCCACTCATCTGTTGATAGGCATATGGGCTGTTTCAAAGACTTAGCTATTATAAATTGTGCTTCTATAAACATGCATATAGCACTGTGATATGATGCTTTAACTCTCTCAGGAAGATACTTAAGTGCAGGAAGAGCTGGGTCAAATGTAACCTCTAGTTTTAGGGTTTTGAGGAATCTCCATACTGATCTCCATAGTGGTTGTACCAGTTTACACTCCTACCAGAAATGGAGAAGGGTTCGTTTATCCACACAGCCCTACCAACATTTGTTATTGGTTGATTTCTTGATGATAGCCATTCTTTCTGGAGTGAAATGGAATCTCAGTGTTGTTTTAATTGGCGTTTTTTGATTGACCAGTGATATTGAGCATTTTTAAATATATTTATTTGCTGTTTGTATTCCTTCATCTGAGAAATGTCTATGAATTTTGGAGCCCCATTTTTGGATTGGGTCTTTAAATTTAGGGAGTCTGGTTTTTTTGTTTGTTTGTTTTTTTAGTTATTTACATATTCTTGATGTGAGTCCTTTTTCTGAGGAGTGACTGGAAAAAATTTTTCCCAGCCTGGGCAAGGTG